AACTGGTTGATTCCAGGGATAGAAATTATGCAGGGAAAACACAAGCCGAACCGAGATCATCTGTTGGTGTCTAGAAAAATAAAAGTTCTCAAAAAAGGATAGGGCATGTTCAAAGGGCACAGGTGCCACCCTAAAAGAACTCTTAAAATGGCCAAAGATGGGACAAGTTGAGCACCAAAATAAAGGATAATATTTGGTTATAATTCATAGAATAAAATAAGTATCCATGAGTCCACACTGATGTAAAAAGTAGCTGAGTAAATAAACAGAAGAGCACAGACAATTCCTTCTTGCAAAATTTATTAATTCTTACAGAATTAATAAATGTAGAATGAATGAGGGAAACAGAAAGTCAGCATTAGAACTAAGTTTGAGGACCGGCTGATGTGGCTCAGTTGGTTGAGTGTCATCCCATACACCAAGAAGTTGCCAGTCTGTTTCCCAGTGAGGGCACATACCTGGGTTGCAGGTGGGGGTGCGAGGCAGCCAATCAATGTTTCTCTCTCATCAACATTTCTCTCTCTCTCTCAGTTCCTCTCTCTCTAAAGAACAAAAAAATCAACAGAACAAAAGTTTGAGGAGAAACAGGATATTTGCATAGTTTCAAAGTGTCTTCCTCAACACTGTTATTCATGACAAAGGGAGAAATAGTCACTTCACTATGGAGAAACCCAGCAGATATCACCTCAACCACGTGTTCAAGGTGGGCCTCACCAGCAGTGAGGCACGTTGGCATTCTGTGTTCCTGATATGAGGCACGAGAAGGCCACATCACTTCCGTGGTGTCCTTACCAAAAATGCATAACCTCCAACTTGCTCTTAGCTTTCCATTACAGGTGATGGCCACTCTACTTTTCCTGCTGCTTAAATAAAAGTCATCACTGAGCCCAGCCAGCATGGCTCAATGACTGAGCGTTGACATATGCTCGGGTTGTGTGCTCAATCCCCAGTAGGGGGCATGCAGGAGGCAGCCAATCAATGATTCTCTCTGATCACAGATGTTTTTATCTCTCACTCTCCCTACCTCTCTGAAATCAATAAAAATATATTTTAAAAAATCATCATTGACTCCTCTCTTTTTCTCACACTCATATTCTATCCATCAGAAAAATATGCTGGCTCTACTCCCTTAAGTCCATACGCTCAAGATTCTATATCCGCGGAGAAACCAAGATGGCAGCATAGGCAAACACCTGAAATTGCTGCCTCGCACAACCACTTCAAAAATACAACTAAAAGACAAAACAGACATCATCCAGAACCACAGGAAGGCTGGCTGAGTGGAAATTCTACAACTAGAAGAAAAGAGAAAAGCACACTGAGACTCAGAGGAGGTGCGAAAGTAAAGTGCAGAGGTACGGAGGCACACATGGAAAGGGCTGGCAACTGAGGGCGCGGTTGTCTTTTTCAATTGGGAGGGAGACACACGCTCCCACTCTGAACTTCAGTTCCGGACGAGTCTCTGGGGACCCAGACTCATACGGGGAGAAACTGGACTGTCTGGCCTCGGGCGAAACTTGAGGGCGGCTTTCCCTCAGAGGTGCTTGCAGCGATTACTGGGACACTGAGACACGGGGCCTCTTAGGGAAGGACTGAGGAGCAGCCATAGCTGTTTGCTCCGCCCTGTTGATTCCCTGAGACCACGCCCAACCAACCTGTGCGCAGAAGCTTTTGCATATGAATGACCTGGCCCTTTGCTATCTAAAATTACCTAACAAACTACAGCTGGGTCAGAGAGACCCAGAACATCCAAAAGAAGACCCAAGGCCCCACAGCAGCTTGCACTGCTTCACAGCTGGGCCTCATCTGGGCACCTCCAAATCCCAAACAAAAAAGCGGAATCTGCAGATCTCTCCGTAGCTCCTGCTGGCTAGCCTCAGGCAGAGGCTAAATTAGCACCTCCTTAGAGATCCAAGTGCCAGTGTACCCAGTGGTCAGAGTGGGACCATCCAGATAACAACTCCTCAGATCCATAAGGGGCACACTCAGGGGGCAGACTCAGTGAGCACCAAAGCCCCACTGAAGCAAGTCTTGCCCCATAAGGGTGTCTCCAGCACAGAAGTTCTCCCACCATAGACACAGCTGATTCTCACAGCCAATTGGCCTGGAGGTCAATTCCTCCCAGTGATACCTACAACAATCAAGGCTTAACTACAACAAGACTGTGCACCAAGAGTGTCCACCTCAGGTAATTGGGGAGGCTGAGCCACTAGGCCCTATAGGACACCTAGCACAGAAAGACATCCTGTCAACACAGGGAAGCAGCCAAAATGCAGAGACAAAGAAACAGGTCACAAATGACAGAAATGGAGGAAAGCAAACTACTGGATATAGAGTTCAAAACCACACTTACAAGGTTTTTCAAGAATTTTCTAGAAACCGCCAATAAATTTAGTGAGACCCTCAATAAATCTAGTGAGACCCTCGAGGTTATGAAAAAGGACCAACTAGAAATTAAGCATACACTGACTGAAATAAAGAATATTATACAGAGATCCAACAGCAGACTAGAGGATCGCAAGAATCAAGTCAAAGATTTGAAATACGAAGAAGCAAAAAACACCCAACCAGAAAAGCAAAAAGCAAAAAGAATCCAAAAATATGAAGATAGTGTAAGGAGCCTCTGGGACAACTTTAAGCAAACCAACATCTGAATTATAGGGGTGCCAGAAGAAAAGAGAGAGCAAGATATTGAAAACCTATTTGAAGAAATAATGACAGAAAACTTCCCTTACCTGGTGAAAGAAATAGACTTACAAGTCCGGGAATCACAGAGAACCCCAAACAAAAGAAATCCAAAGAGGACCACCCCAAGACACATCATAATTAAAATGCCAAGAGCAAAAGACCAAGAGAGAATCTTAAAAGCAGCAAGAGAAAAAAAGTCAGTTACCTACAAGGGAGTATCCATACGACTGTCAGCTGATTTCTCAACAGAAACTATGCAGGCCAGAAGGGAGTGGCAAGAAATACTCAAAGTGATGAATACCAAGAACCTACAACCAAGATTACTTTACCCAGCAAAGCTATCGTTCAGAATTGAAGGTCAGATAAAGAGCTTCACAGATAGGGAAAGGAGTATTATATGAAATTCTGAAAGGTATTCTTTAAGAAGAGGAAGAAGAAGAAAAAGGTAAAGATAAAAATTATGAACAAGTACATATCTATCAACAAGTGAATCTAAAAATCAAGTGAATAAAAAAGTCTGATGAACAGAATAAACTGGTGAATATAATAGAATCAGGGGCATAGAAACGGAGTGGACTGACTATTCTTGGGGGGAAAGGAGTGTGAGGGGTGCGGGAAGAGACTGGACAAAAATCATACACCTATGGATGAGGACAGTGGGGGGGGGGTAAGGGCAGAGGGGGGGGTGGGAACCGGGTGGAGGGGAGCTATGGGGGAAAAAAAGAGGAACAACTGTAATAATCTGAGCAATAAAGATTTAATTAAAAAGAGATTCTATATCCGGCATCTGAACACTTCACTCCACCTCGTCTGAGAAGAGCCTCCACACCACCATCATCTACAACTTGATTATAAAGCCCTAGACCAGAGATTTTCAACCTCTTCGTCTTGTGGCACACATAAACTAATTACTAAAATTCTGCAGCACACCAAAAAATATATTACTGCACTGTTTGCCGATCTGACAAAGGTATAGTTTTGATTCATTCACACCAAATGGCTATTGTAGTGTTGGCTGTTGTCATTTTTTTTTTTTGAGAACCTAAGGAAAAAGAGTCAGTGCCCCTGACTAAATAGATATGACATGTTTTAAAAATTCTTGTGGCATATCAGTTAAAAATTGCTGCCCTAGACTATTCTCCACCTGGTAGGATCCATTTAAACCTGTCAAGTTGGATCGTGTACTCCAGGTTGCTGAAAACCCTCTTTTTGCTTAGAGTAAAATCAAAAGCCCTCATCGTACCTACCAGGCACTACGCAATCTGGTCCCTATTACCCTCTGACCTCCTTTCCTCCTGCCCTCCCTTACTCCTTCCGCTCCAGCCAGCTTCCCTGCTATTCCTTCATATGCAGACACTCCCTCCTCAGGACCTGTGCTGTAGCTGTTCCCTTTGTGTGGAATGCTCTTCCCCCAGAAACCAGCTTGGCTAACATCCTCACCTCTTCAAGGCTTGGTTTGGGTCTTGCCCTCTCATGGGAGCTACCTTGACCATCCCCTAAAATACTGCAACCCCCTCACCACATTCTTCAAACCTTACCCCACCTATCGTTTTTCCTTAGCACACGCATCACCTTCTAACATGTCCTATCATTAGTGTATGTATTATGCTTACTGTCTTGTCTTCTCTGCTGGAAGGATCTTTGTTTGTTTTGCTCACTGATGTATTTCAAGCTTCAAGAAAAATAACTAGCACAGGAGGTGGCTGAATAAATATTTGTTTAGTGAATGAATTCCAGGTCCCACAAATCTGAGAGAGGCATGGCAAGAAACGGGTCAAATTCATTTTCTAAAATGGAGGGACTGCCTACTGCCTTTTACTAACTGGGAAAACCATTAAACCCAACCCCAGAGAGCAGACCTGGACAGAGACTGAGGGCTACAAAAGCCACTTCTGGCCTGTCAGTAACTCCTGACCCTCAGAGGCAAACCTTCTCTGGGGCACACAAGGCGACTCTTTTCCTTCAGACTCAGGGATTTCCCTGGGAGGGTGGTGAGTCACTTAGTGCTTTTGTACATTATCTCCTTTAATTTTTCCGACTACCCCGCTGAAGTTTCCATGATTTCCATTCTACAGATGAGGAAACTGAGGCTCTGGGGAATTGAGGCAATGCTTGAGACTCATGCTAATGCGTGCTAGAGCTCAGATCCCAGCACTGACAGGGGAAGATCAATCCTGGTTTGCCCCAGTTGTCCTAAGAGCCGTCAGCAATGAGAGAGATTTACCTGGGAGGCCCGCCTGGCTGCTCAAAGAGCCCTGAGCCCAGGTCCTAGCTCCACAGCCCTCTCTGCTGGCTTCCCACCAAAGCCCCACCTGGATATGGTGATGAGACAGGCGGAAAATCTCCTGGGCCATCAGCAAGGTCTTTGAGTCCATCACCAGGTACAGCAGATGCAGGAGGGCAAGGAAGCCCGCTCCTCTAAGGTCTGTGGCTGGATTTGCTCCTATAGCAGAAACCAGGAGGAAGTTGAGGGTGATGAGACCAATACTTAATGAAATGCCTGCTGCCAGGAGCGTCACTGACTTAGTTATAGACCAAGTGGAGAGCCTGCCCTAGTCTGTAACAAGACACCCCTTAGCAGGGCAGTCAGAGAAGTGGGACTTCATCCCTTCCTGGTGCTAAGGAGCCCCCTCCCTCTGGTGGCACTGGAAGTGAAGTGGACGTCAGTGGAGACCACACGGGAACAGTAATGAGGCACCTCTGTCCTTCCCAGCCAGTGGTACCAGTGGAGGTCAAGTGGGGTAACTGGGTTCCCACCCCATCCGACAGTAATGAGGTCACAGCCTCCTCCCCCCATTGGCTCAGTATCAGAGGAGGCCTGCTAAAATAGAAGACTTAAAGAAGACCCAGAGTCTCATTACACAATACCCAAAATGTTCGGGACACAATAAAAAATCACAATTTGGATGAGAAAAGGCAATCACTAAATAGCAACACCAGATAAAGGATTTTAAGCAGCTGCTGTAGGCAGAATAATGGCCCCTCCCAAACTTTCCCTGTCCTAATCCCCACAACCTATGTATATGTAATGTTGCAGGCCAAGGGGGAATTAAGATTGCAGGTAGAATTAAGGTTGCTAATTAGCAGATACGAAAATTACCCTGAATTATCTTGAAGGGCCCAATGTAAAAAGTGAAAGAGGGAGGCAGAAACAGAGTCAGAAAAAGATGTGAGAATAGAATCGGGCTCAGAGAGATGCTATGAAGGAGGAATGCAGGCAGCCTCTAGAACAGTGGTTCTCAACCTGTGGGTCGCGACCCCTTTGGGGTTGAACGACCCTTTCACAGGGGTCGCCTAAGACCATCAGAAAACACACATATATAATTACATATTGTTTTTGTGATTAATCCTTATGCTTTAATTATGTTCAGTTTGTAACAATGAAAATACATCCTGCACATCAGATATTTACATGACGATTCATAACAGTAGCAAAATTACAGTGATGAAGTATAAACGAAAATAATTTTATGGTTGGGGGTCACCACAACATGAGGAACTGTATTAAAGGGTTGTGGCATTAGGAAGGTTGAGAACCACTGCTCTAGAAGGTGGAAAAGACAAGGAAACAGAGTCTCTCCTGAAGCCCCAAAAAGTGCAGTTCTGCTGTCACCTTGATCTTACCCCAGTGAGACCCGGTTCAGATTTCCGAACGACAGAACTCCCCTATTTGTGTTGTTATAGCTACTAAACCTTTGATAAGCAATTACTAACATACTTAGAAGAGAAATGAAAGTCTCAGTAAAGAAATATAACTAAAATTAAAAACCCATTGGATGGGCTTAACGACAGAATAGCTATAACAGGAAAAGAATCAGTGACCTTGGAAGATGGAACAATTTAAATTACAAAATCTGAACAGTGAAGGGAAAAACAAAACAAAATGAGGAGAACTTCAGAGATCCATGAGCTACAGACAGAGCCTGTGGAACAATAACAAAAGACCTAGCATTTGTGCCATCAGAGTCCCACAGGAGAGGACAAAGTATGGGGCTGAAAAAGTACTCAACTGCCGAAACCGGCTTGGTGGATAGAGCATCGGCCTGAGGACTGAAAGGTCCCACGTTCGATTCTGGTCAAGGGCATGTACCTGGGTTGCGGGCACATCCCCAGCGGGAGATGTGCAGGAGGCAGCTGATCGATGTCTCTCTCTCATCGATGTTTCTAACTATCTCTCTCCCTTCCTCTCTGTAAAAAATCAATAAAATATATTTTTAAAAAAAGTACTCAAAAGTCATAATGAGTGGATATTTATCAAATTTGGCAAAAGACATAAAACCTACAGATCCAAGAAGCTGAGCAAACCCCAAATGGAATAAGGTGAAAGATATCCACACCAAGATACCTCATAATCAAAACGCTGCCATCTAAAGACCAAAAAATAAAAATCTGGAAAACAGAGAGAGAGAAAAACAACCCCTTAACTATCAGGGAGAAATAATTCAAATGACAGTAGCTTGCTGGCTGGTGTTGCTCAGTTCCTGGTCAGGGAACATGCCCGGGTTGCAGGCTCGATACCCAGTACGAGGCATGAAGGAGGTAGCAGATGGATGATTCTCTTTCATCATTGATATTTCTATTTCTCTCTCCCTCTCCCTTCCTCTTTCTGAAATCAATAAAAACATATTTTTAAAAATGACAGCGTTTTCTCATCAGAAACCATGAAGCCCAAAAGGCAGTAGCACATTTATCAAGTGCTGAAAAAGAACTGTCAACATGGAACTCAATATCCAGGAAAATTACCCTTCAGGAGTAAAGGGGAAATCAAGTCATTCTCAGATGACTTGTTTCTCTCATTGTTCAGATTAGGTAAGGGAATTTATTACCTGTAGACCTAGATAAGAAAATGCCTAAAGGATGTTTTGAAACAGAAATGAAATGATAAAAGGAATCATGGAATATCAGAAAGGAAAAAAGAACAATGGAAAAGTAAATACAATGGATTTTGCTTCTCTTGAGATTCTTAAGTTGTTTAACGGTTGAAACAAAAATCAAACACTCATATGATTTTCAGTGTTTATAGAGGACATATTTAAGACAATTATACATGAGGAAGGATGGACTTAAACATGTCAACACCAACAGATTGTCAATTAATTATGGGTATATAAAGTTTCCTTTTAAAATTAAGATTTTTTCCTATTCTATACAAGTGTAATTTGGTATGATTTTGAAAAAAGAGTAGCACAATCCAAAAGCAGGTGAAATACTTTTGTTTCACTCAAAATAAAATAAAATAAAACAACTTTTCATCAATATTAATGGCAAAGAGGAAAAAGAAAAAACCAGATTCCAAATCATATCACTCAGTGGCTTCCATCCCAGAGTGTTTGACGATGGTCTGCACGGCCATGAGTGAGCGTTTCTCCTGCCACTCTCTTCTCACGTCAGCCACGCTGTTTCTCTAATGGAGGCAAGCAAGCTTCATGCCAGGGCCTTTGCATTTGCTCTGCCTTCTTCCTGGAAGGCTTTCCCAGATACCCCTCCGCATGGTGCTGGGCTCTCTCTCTAGCCCCGGAATCAGGGGTCCAAGAAAAGAAGATGAACCATTCCTCTCTCTTACCCTGAAAGCCCAGATCTTCCCAGTGATCTCCGTGGAGGGCACAGTCAAACTTGGAGCCGGTCAGCTTCTTATAGATGGTCTTGAGGACTCGGCCATGTGTTGGGTCTCGGCTATCCAGGCCACCTGCCTCAAAACACACCCATGTTTCTGTTGGATTGCCCTTCAAGGGAAGACTAAGTGCTTCTCAAGATAGATCCAGACTGTACTCAAGACACCCTGTTCTCCCAGACTTTTACCTCTCAGTCCCTGCTCCCCATGTCAACATGGAAAATGCAAGACCCTTGGGTGAGGCTTAATCACAGGGTGGGCAAGCAGTGCTCTCTGCCTGACCTCATGCAGCACCTGCTCTGTGGCAGCACCAGTGCACTCACACTGAGCAATGGTCAGGACCAAGTCCCTTTCTTCACGGAGGCCCCGGTGGAGCTTTGGAGGCCCGAAGAGGCAGTGCCGGAGGGCGGCAAGCCCAGTCCTTCGAATTGTTGGCTGGATTCTTTTCTGGGGAGAAAGTTGCAGGTAATGGGTAGCATGCTAGGTCCACCCGCTTTCATGAACTTATCATTAGGCTGTGCACAGGGACTGTTCTTGCAGAAAGACATAGCTCCCCCAATTAAGTGGCTGGTCTCTGGGCCAGGGAAAGGGGGAAGACGCTGTGAAGCATCTGTAGGATCTCTGGAGACAGGCTCTCCCAGCTCTTAAGTCCTTTGTAAATAGAGAGACACGTCCCCAAGCATTATCAGTCGTGTACATTTGGTCCTTCGAGCTCTTCCAGAGCTAGCTATTCCATCGACTGTCAAGGAGGTTGGCTGTGGGGACTCCCCCAGGTGGTCTCACAAACATCAGACCAGGTTTCCTAGCAGGGCTGCTTCTGCATAGCCTTGGTATGCCTGCCTCTGTCTCTCTCCATAAAGGACAGAATTTATAAAGTCTAGCACCACTCTCAAATTCCAGGATGAGACAGCCAGTGGGGACAGAAGTTGAGTGGAGACTTTTTTGGAGCTGGATACCTCTGAGGGGAGCTAAAGCTTTCTGCTACCACCACAACCAGCACTCCCTAAACCAGGTCATGCTGACTTCTCATTGCTCAGGGCCACTGCCAGGGACTTAGAACAAACTGATCTGGGTAGCTTCTGGCAACCTGATTCCTATCTTTGCAGCCTCTCTATTGAGCCAGGTTTTAGGTACAAGATCTGAAATCACATTCCTCTAAACTTACGACTGGTCACTCAAGATGCCCCAGAAAGCTTGCCAGCTTTTATTCTCAATACTAGAGGCCCAGTGCACGAAATTTCATGCACTGTGGGGGTGGGGGGCATCTCTCAGCCCGGCCTAGCCCCTCTTGCAGTCTAGGACCATCACTGCGCTCGCCAGCCATGAGTCTGGCTTCTGGGGCCCCTCTTGCAGTCTAGGACCATCACTGCGCTTGCCAGCCATGAGTCTGGCTTCTGGCAGAGCAGCGCTCCCCCTGTGGGAGTGCACTGACCACCAGGGGGAAGCTCCTGCATTGAGCATCTGCCCCCTGGTGGTCAGTGTGCATCATAGTGACTGGTCGTTCTACCATTCAGTAGATTTGCATATTACCTTTTATTATACAGGATTCTTTCTTTTTCCAATCTTACATATTTTTTAAATTCCCAGATAGCTTCTAATACCTTGAGAGGATGGAAGATTTTCCTACATTAGTCATTAATTACTCAGCTCTGAACAGGCTGCCTTGCTTCCTCAAGGAACTATCTAGCACTTGATTCCAGACCTACCTTCGCTAAGAGGGAAGAGCAGGGAGCAGCTGCATGGACCTCTGTATGACAGGGCCACCGGAGCTCTGGGGCACAGGCCCAGAAAGGCCACGGGGGCCCTGCATGCAACAAGGGTCTTTGGCAGCCACGACCCTGTACCCCAAGATCTTTCTAGGTGAGATAGAACCCTCAACTAGAAGCTCCCATCTGCTTGCCCAGTGCCCTGTCCTGGTGGGTTAGAAACCTGGCTCCTGGGAAGAAGTGCTTTGCCGGAGATCCCAAACGTCCCTATGTCATACCTTGAAGGAGGAGAGGTCGATGGTCTGGAAATGCTGCAGTGCCTCACTGAAGGAGATCAGCTGTGCAGGCTGGTCTGTCTGGCTTCCTGTGGCCAAAGGGAAGAGGCAGAAACCCCAGGGTTTGTAACAGTAGTCAGTGTCAGCAGCCATTCACTGAGGCCTTCCAGTTGTCACCTCTAAGCTCAGATTCCAGCTGTAAACATCAGACACCCAAAGGTGCTGGATCAACTTCCCTTTCACACCAGGCTGGTCAGAGGCTTTCGAGCAATCTATGCTGTGAGTAGGGATACATCTGCCCCTCAGGGGCTCCCTAAATTCTACTCATCTGGGAGGGGGTGTCACTGACTGGAGTAGGTACACACATAAGAGTGTGCCACAGTTTTGCTTAGGGGTATTTCCTAATTCCTACTTTGACCCTTCTCACACCCTACAGATGAATGGCCCTCTCTCCATCCTTTGTTCCAGTCCACAGGGAATTAACTTGCCAGTTAACAGTAACATCTCTCCCATATGGTCCTAGTTCTGCTGTCCTGGAGCTCTCAGAAAGAGATGAGAGACGGTTTTTACCAAGCTCAGAGCCTTCCAGCAGATGGCTTCAGCCCCACTCCAGGGATTTCCTTGTACAGTGAACAACCTGCTCCGCCTTATGCAGCGGCCCCGGCTGCCTGCCTCCATCCTCCTGCTAACCTCATCTCCCTACAGAAGCTGACCATGTCCTCCCTGACTTCTCTCAGGGCTGGGTAGGTGGCAGCCCTTTCCCCAGGGCATTCATTCCCATTTCTCCCAGAAAGTCGTCTTTAGATTTGCAAAGAGTTTTTATTCTATTTAACACAGCCAAAATAGGACCATTCAGGAACTGTCTCCTAATCTCAGAGCCACAGGAACATTAGCCTCATGTGTGGATAGTGCTTTTACCAGCAGCAGACTGTGTGGCGATAGTGCTATTCTTGCAGTTACCTGTCTCTGGCTGGATGTTCTGCACGGCTTCCCATTCTTCCTGGGCTCTGAGCACCTCGGGGCTCACAACTGCAACGGTAAGAAAAGGAGACCCTCTGAGCTCGGGGTGGTCTGGATCACCGTCAGCCCCCAGCCCTGGGTCCTTTTGCCCTCAGATACCCTCTTTACGAGGCTGCCAGGGTGAGCTTTCGGAAAGGCAGATCTGACGTCCCACCCTGGCTCCCCTGGTCAAAACCCTCCAGGGATCCTCCATAACTCTCTCAAGGTAAAACTCAGCTCTTTAGCATAGCATCTAAGTACTCTCACAATCTGGACCCTTTGTACCTAACTCTGCTGTAGGGCGTAAAGGATACCTAAAGTTTCTCTATACTTCCCGCCTTCAGTGCCGTGGCACAGACTGTTCTCCCTCTGCCCATAGTCAGCAAGCCCCGTCAACTGCAACCCCTTCTGGTGTAACTCCTCCTCATCCTTCAGTTAATTCTGATTATCACCTGGATGCTTTATCAGTGTGGGACCATCTTTCCCACTGCACTGGGAGCTACATGAGAGCGGGGCTCTCCAGAACCCAGAACAGTGCCTGACACATAATATGTGCTCAATATTTGATGAATGAATAAAGCATGGTAAGGGGGGGGGCGGGGGCGGGAAGGAAAAGAAAAAAATCCAGCAGGTTAGGCTCTCTATAGCCACTTCATGGCCCTTTCTCCAAACCACAGCTGCCACTCTCTGGCCCAAACTGCTAGTAGCATCCTGTCACTGGTCTTTCCCATTTGCTATGGAGGACATCAACAAATAGTGGTAAGGATGAAGAGACTTCAGTTAAATACCAAAAATTGTGATCCCTCCAGACGCAGTGGTAAAAGCAGTTTAGGACAGTTCCGCTCTACCTTGAACTCATGGCTGAGGACATCACGTGACAAACTGTTTTGAAAGTATACTTGCAAATTAAGTAAAATCCTATCAAGAACTCAAAACACTAGTGGATAATGAGGAAGAGCAAGCGAAATTCTGTTTCTTTGTTATGGGGTGGGGCCACAACATTAGTAACAAAGAAACAGAATTTCTGGAGGATGAGGTCCAGAAATCAGGATTTTAAAAAGATTCCCAGGTGATTCTAATGTGCAGCCAAGGTTAAGAACCACTGCTTTAGACCAGGGGTCCTCAAACTTTTTAAACAGGGGGCCAGTTCACTGTCCCTCAGACCGTTGGAGGGCCGGACTATAGTTTAAAAAAAACTATGAACAAATTCCTATGCACACTGCACATATCTTATTTTGAAGTAAAAAAACAAAATGGGAACAAATACAATATTTGTATTTGCATGTGGCCCGCGGGCCGTAGTTTGAGGACCCCTGCTCTAGAGCCTATTGCTGGTGAACAGTTCATCTCCACCACTTATTAGCTGTTCTTTGGGCCAATTACTTAACCATTGGTAATCACTCATGGGACTACTATGGGGATGATGTAACTCTTCGACCTCTTCGGGGAATATGTGGCCCAAAGGTAAGTGCTCAATACATGTTAGCTAATATTATGGACACAGTCGTGGGCTTGGGACCAGCAGGGCAGTGAAATGGTGGCAGATGAGATAGGTCCGGGGTCCTGAATGTCTGGAACTCTGGGAAACTCAATCTTGCCAGGCCCAAACTGTGGACGGGGCAGCAGACACAGAACCTCAGGGCTTCCAAGCTGGATAACTTCAACAGAATACAGAATACTCGACCATGGACTGTAAAAAAACAAACAAAAAACCTGCTTCGCCCTGGCTGGTGTGCTCAATGGCTAGGGAAACCAGCCTATGCACCAAAGGATTGCAGGTTCAATTCCTAGTCAAGGGCACATACCTAGGTTGTAAACTGGTGTGTCTCTTGCACATTTATGTCTCTGTCCCTTCCTCCCTCCCTTCCATTCTCTCTAAAAATCATTGGAAAACATATCCTCTGGTGAGGATTAACAAAAAAACAACAACCCCACAAAAAAGTGTGGGGCAAAAGTAGGTTTATAATTGTAAGTATACAAAACAAAGTTTATACTTGTATTATTATTTATCAACTAGAGGCCCGGTGCATGGATTCATGCACCAGTGGGCCCTTCGGCCTGGCCTGTGGGGATTGGGCCAAAACCGGCTCTCTGACATCCCCCGAGGGGTCCCAGATTGCAAGAGGGCACACACAGGCCAGGCCGAGGGCCTCTAGATAAGAACTTTAGTTAATCTCTTCCTGCCCTCTTCCCTCTGAAATTCATCAGTCTGTTCCATGTTTCCATGCCTGTAGTTTCCACTCCTGTATTAAATGTCTGCCCCCTGGTGGCCAGTGCGCACCATAGCTACCAGCCAGTTGGCCAGTCGCTTAGGCTTTTATATATATATAGACTAGAGGCCCGGTGCACGAAATTCGTACACGGGTAGGATCCCTAGGCCTGGCAGGCGATCAGGGCTGATCAGGACCTTCCGGCTGCTGGTCGGGGCCTCCTTTCCCTGGCTTCCAGCCACCGCCTTCCTTTGTTCTGTGCTGCACCCTGGTGGTCAGCACACATCATAGTGAGTGGTCGGTCTCCCAGTCAAACTCCTGCGGGGACAATTTGTATATTAGGCTTTTATATATATAGATTGTATATAAACTTATCCCTCCTCCTATTTAATGGCTTGACAAGAGTCACGTTTTACTCAGCTCTCCCTATTCTCCCACGCAGTGGTACCTTGTATAGAGTTAAAGCACACTAAATGTGTCAGTATAAAGACCATCTTATTGCTATTTGACATGTAAGCTGAGGGAAAAAATCTACCCTAAATTATAGGTAAAATTAATTTGTTTTACTTCAAGTAATACTTATCAAACAAATACTGGGACCCTTAAGACTGCAGGCCGACGCTCTATCCACTGAGCCAAACCAGTCAGGGCCGTAATATCCTTTTGAGCATAAAGGAGGTTTTAATATTTCTACTGTAGACAGAGATTATATGATTTGCCCAAAGGCACACAGTCAGTCACTAGCAGGGCTATTGGGGCTAGATTATAACTCAGACCTTGTGACTCCTCCAGTGTTGATTCTAATTTTCCTTGAATAATGATAAATCTGCAAAATTCTGTAGGACAAGTAGTGAGAAATTCAAATGATGAAAAGCAGATCCATGGGCAGCTCTGACTTGGGTCCCACCCAGGCTCCAAGGGCCCTGAAGGGGACTTACCACCTGGCGCCCATCCATTAGCTTCTGTTGTCAGGGCCTGGAGGAGGTTGTGGTTCTTCAACTCCGAGATCTGCAGGGCAGTGATCTTTAGTGTAAGGGTAGATCCATGTCCCCCCAACCCCACCCATGGTACTGAATATCCTTGAAACTGGAGGCCAGAAGGAGCTAGTCTACCTTGATGGGTTGATTAAAGCCAATCTTAAAGAGAGGCACCCGGAAAGCTCCAACTCTGATGCACAAGTTGAGTGATGTGGGGACGTGTATGCCTTCCATGAATAGTAAACAACCAAAGTCCACACAATTCAATGAGACTGTGGTGAGCCTTTGGTATTCCCATTGCACTTTATATTTTGCTTCACTAGAGCAATTATCTTACTAGACAGAGTTGGTTTTTTGCTTGTTTGTGCCCCACACCTCTTCCCCTCAGTATGAGCTCCTGGAGGGCAGGGTCTATGCCATCCTGTGTCATGGGTTCCTGGCACCACCTAACAGCATGCAACAAACACTTGTATTGGCGGGAGGTACTAAAGTGTGTGCAATATGTACAGGAATTCCTCTGAAAGCCAGAAGAGCACTGCTGTCCTTGTCGTTTGGTGGAGAGTTCCCAGCAGACACACTTTCGACCTGAAAGACAAACCAGAGTCACTCTCCCAGGCACATGTCAGTCCCAAAGATGACAGCTTAAATGTCACATCTTTTCCCAGTAACAGACACACACACACACACACATATGGATGGACTCCTAAGAAGATAACTATGAGAAATACTATAAGATA